TCTATTGAGTTTTATTCATTTGAGAGGCAGAGAAAGTCCCCGTGTATTGGTTCCCTTCCCAGATGACCAAAACATTGGGGAGTCTGCAGGGCTGAAGTTGGAGACCATGAACTTCAAGTAGTGCTCCAAGTGGGTGGCAGGGACCCAAGTACTTGAGCCACCATCTGCTGCTTCCCAGGACGCACATTAGCCAGAAGCCAGAATCGGGAGCAGAACGAGGGCTGGAACCCAAGGACCCTGGTGTCGGATGAGGTCACTGCTAAGTTGTAGGATTTGAGGGTTGGAAGAAGGCGAGGAGGCAGTTAAAGTAGAAAAGACTTAATTTTAGAGGGGACAGAGTAGGGATGGATAAAGAGAGGGGGAGCTGAGCCTGCCCAGACAGAGGGCAGGAGGTTTGAAGCCAAACTTAGCTCTGTGTGAGCAGCAGGCAGAGTCCCTTCCTAAGCTGCTTGGTGGGGGAGGTGCAGATAAAGTGGGTGGGCGACATGCAAAAGGTGCCTTGGTGGAGTTTACCGGGCATTGTCTTAGTTTGGAATGTCCCAGGTGCGGGGGCTTTCCCCAGCAGTAAACATTCCACTCACCTCTAGTTCTCTGTCCACACCCAGTGGCATGATGGGCTGGATCAGGCCTCCTGTGGCCTAGTAAGTTCTAACAGGCACTCCAACTGGCATCCTAACAAGTAGGCAAAAATGCCCCCTTCTGGGATTGCCTTGTCCCACGGACACTTCTGCCTCCAGACCTGCCTGTCTTATTCTAATCTAAGCCTCACAGTGTAAGATTTTGTGCTTTCAAGAGTTACTCACCCAATTCTACCCCTTTTCCTATTGTTTTTAAAAATATTAATGAATCATTTCCATAACGATAATGTTTGTCCCTTGGTTGCTAAGGTTTAGATGTTTTGTGATTACTTCTCAAGTCTCGGTGGCATCAAGTAGACTTGGGACTTCAGATTTTCATCCAGAATATGTAGTCCGTGGAAATCAACATTTCCACTTAGACTTGCCCTAAGCACAGGTGGTAAATCCTCTTGGACATTCCACAGGGAGAGGTGCTAGCTGTCTTTCTCACTGTGCTTGTTACGGTGGTGTCAAACCCACGTGGCTGACAAGGCCCCTTTGGAAGATGATGATAATCCCTACTCCTCTGGGACAACATTCTCACTCCCTTTCCTTTTGGCTCCAATACCCACTGAAGGTGGAAGTTGCCAACTGAATAATCCCAATCCTGTCTCTGACTTGAATCTGTTTCCGTGCCACCTACCCAACCTTTCCTGTCTGTTCCCCAGGACAGAGCAATGCTGGGAGAATTGTTCCCCTCAGGTAGATCCAATATTCTTTCTCCTTAACATAAACTCCTTCACCCATCATTGACTTTGCCCTCCTCAGAGACCACCAAAAAGGCAGCCCTTGTCCCGTGCCTTCTGTGTTCTGCTAAGCTTGTCCACACTCCACCATCATAGACTGCTTCACACCGTTAGCTCCCACCCCAGATTTCCACATATAAGGAGATGTCCAAAAGTTCATGGAAAGTGGGATTAAAAGGTAAGCTTATTTTGGTCAGAAAATTGAAAATGCATGCATATCAGGAATATCCAAAAAGTTAATGAAAATGCTTATTATGAAAAAAATGCATTGACCTCAATTGTTTTGCACCAGAATAAATTTAATCTTTAAAAATTATTTGAAAGGAAGAATTTATTTATTTATTTAAAGAGGGAGAGACAAAAATAGAGAGTGGGAGAGAGAGGCTCTTCCATCTGCTGGTTTACTTCCCAGTGAGTTGATTTCAAAATCCAGGGCTGCTGGGGCTGGCGCTGTGGCACAGTGGATTAAAGCCCCGGCCTGCAGTGCCAGCCTCCCATATGGGTGCCAGTTCAAGTCCCAGCTGCTCCTCTTCCAATCCAGCTCTCTGCCATGGCCTGGGAAAGTGGCGGAAGATGGCCCAAGTCCTTGGGCCCATAAACCCACATGGGAGACCCGGAATAAGCTCCTGGCTCCTGGCTTTGGATTGGCATTGCGGCCATTGAGGGAGTGAACCAGCGGATGGAAGATCTCTCTCTCTCTCTCTCTCTCTCTCTCTGCCTCTCCTTCTCACTCTATAACTCTGACTTTCAAATAAATAAATAAACCTTTAAAAAAAAATCCAGGGCTGGGACAGACTGAAGCCAGGATCCAGGAACTCCATCCAGGTCTCTGACATGGGAGTTCAGGACCCAAGCACTTGGGCTGTCCTCCACTCTCTTCCCATGTGCATTGGGAAGAAGTTGGATCCTAAGCAGAGCAGCTGAGACTTGAACCGGTGCTCCAATAAAGGATGCTAGCAAATACAAGAGGTGATTTAACCCACTATGTCACTATGCTGACCCCAAACTCATCTTTTCATTCCATTTGGCATGTACTGTCTGAAGGATCCTTGTAATGCTAACCATTTGTACACATGTCCCAACCCCTCTCCTGGGTACTCTTTGAGGGCAGTGCCATGTCCGTGGTAGACACTCAGAGATACGTTTAACGCATGAATCTGGCTTCTGAGTAGGAAGCCTGCTTTTTTTTAAATTTTTTTAAATTTTATTTATTTATTTATTTATTTTGACAGGCAGAGTGGACAGTGAGAGAGAGAGACAGAGAGAAAGGTCTTCCTTTGCCGTTGGTTTACCCTCCAATGGCTGCCACACTGCGCTGATCCAATGGCAGGAGCCAGGTACTTCTCCTGGTCTCCCATGGGGTGCAGGGCCCAAGCACTTGGGCCATCCTCCACTGCACTCCCTGGCCACAGCAGAGAGCTGGCCTGGAAGAGGGGCAACCGGGACAGAATCCGGCGCCCCGACCGGGACTAGAACCCGGTGTGCTGGCGCTGCAAGCGGAGGATTAGCCTAGTGAGCCACAGCGCCAGCTGGAAGCCTGCTTTTAATGACTACCATCAAGGACAGAGGGTTGACACATAAAGTAATAGAAGTCTGGCATTCTTTCTCAGTGGAAACAGCCCAGCAAAGCTCTCATCGAAGTGCAACTGCTTTTCACTGTCTCTTGTCCACTGAATGTTTCTTCCAAAGAGGAAATTTGTTTAACCCAAGCCGATCAAAGCTAGCACATGAACCAAAGTGTAATGACCAAGACACTACAGTCAGATAGCTGATGTTAAACACTATGGCATAGCAGGTTAAACCTCCACCTGCGGCACCAGCATCCCAAATGGGTGCATTTGTCTCCCAGCTGTTCCACTTCCAATCCAGCTCTCTGTTAATAGCCTTGGAAAGCATCGGAGGATGGCCCAAGTGCTTGAGTCCCTGCACCCATGTGGGAGACCTAGAAGAAGCTCCTGGCTCCTGGCTCTGGCCATTGCTTCCATTTGGGGAATGAGTCAGCAGATGGAAGACCTCTCTCTCTTTCTCTCTCCCTCTCTCTCTGTAACTCTGATAGACAAATAAATTAATAAATCTTTAAAACAATAGAGACTTTTCTGCATCAGCTCACAGAACACGTGAGTGTCTGAGTCAGACAATCCCTGCATGCTATGTTTAACTTTTCTCACTTCTGTAGCAATATTCCCATTGTTGCTACTAAATATTCTTTTTGTATGAATATACAGATTGCATACGCATTGGAAAGTGGAATACTGGTTGGAAATAAGGTAGCCTACTTCCAAAGCCACCCTTTCCAGTGTCCTCTCCACACGGTACATGACCCCAGTGCTGATATTTCAGGATACCCTGACCAGAGCAGAGCAGGCTTCCAAACAGGAGCTTGGAAAAGAGCAGACTGTGGCAGAACTGTGGAAGTCTCTTTCTTTTTCTTTGTTGGAAAAATTTATTTTATGTGTTGAAAAGCAGAGTTACAGAGGCAGGGGCAGATCTTCCATCCACTGGTTCACTCACCAAATGGCTGCAACGACCAAGTCTGTGCCAAGTCGAAGCCAGGAGCCAGGAGCTTCTTCCAGGTCTCCCACATGGGTGCAGGGGCCCAAGGACTTCTACTGCTTTCCCCAGGCACATTAGCAGGGAGCTGGATTGGAATTGGAGCAGCTGGGGCTGGAACCGGTGCTCATTTGGTGGTGGCTTTACCCCCTATGCCGCAATGCTGGCCCGGAATTATATAGTTCTATTTATTTATTTGCAAGTCGAGAGAGAGAGAGATCTTCCATTTGTTGTTTCACTCCCCATGTGGCCACAACACCCTGGGCTGGGCCAAGCTGAAGCCAGGAGCCAGGAGCTTTATCTAAGTCTACCACGTAGGTGCAGGAGCCCAAGCACTTGAACCATGTTCCACTTCTTTCCCAGGCATATTAACAGGGAGCTGGATGAGAAGTGGGGCAGCCAGGACTTGAACTGGTGCCTATAGGGGGTGCTGTTGTTGCAGGCAGTGGCTTAACCAGTTACTCCACAATGCTCACCCCGGTCTCTGCTTTTAAGATACTGTGTATGCATGCTTTCTGCAGGCAGGAGCTGTGTCATTCTTCCTGTGTTACCAGTACCCCTGCAATGCCTTGAGCTTAGTTATCTGCTGCTCGGTAAATCCTTTATCAGCAGTACTGAGGAGCTGCTCTGTGCTGAACAGAGTAATCAGAAAGACCAGTGCCTGCAAGTGAGCAGTTCCCAGGCTGCTGGGGTGGGCAGTGGAGAGAAAGATAGACACAGAGCCAGAAAACGGAGTCCTGGTTGTAAGTCATAATCAGTTAGTACCTAGGAAATTCTGTATTGTTATTGCTGCATGGGGTGATGTGAGGATGTGTAAAATCTGATGTTTTTCCAAGTTTCCCCTGGCTTCCCTTAGGAGAGTGACATATAAGCTGAAGTTTAGAGAAAGAGTAGGCGACCTGAATAGATGGCCAGAGGCAAGGAAAACTAGACAAGTGTATACTAGCACAGGCTGCAGTATCCACGGGGACTATGCACCTGCCAAGATCCGTACGTGCTTGAGGCATGGACTCGCTCCTGACAGTGCGTGACACCAGGTCCCTAACCGAAGCCAACTCCTTCTCTCCCTGGTCTTGTTTCCTATCAGAATACACCACCAGCAGTCCGGATCTGCTGCTAGTCATATTTCAAGTGACCGGCGTCAGCCTCCTGCCACCGCTGGGAATTGCCATCGCCGTCATCGTCACCTTCTACTGCTACCGCGTTCACCGGCAGCAGAAGCTGAGTCCCTCCTGGGAGACCAGCAAGCCGCGGAAGCTCATGGAGTTCAGCGAGCACTGCGCCATCATTCTGGAAGACGACCGCTCCGACATCAGCTCCACGTGCGCCAACAACATCAACCACAACACGGAGCTGCTGCCCATCGAGCTGGACACCCTGGTGGGCAAAGGTCGATTCGCCGAGGTCTACAAGGCCAAGCTGAGGCAGAACACATCCGAGCAGTTCGAGACCGTGGCCGTCAAGATCTTCCCCTACGAGGAGTACGCCTCTTGGAAGACGGAGAAAGACATCTTCTCGGACATCAACCTGAAGCACGAGAACATCCTGCAGTTCCTGACGGCCGAGGAGCGCAAGACTGAGCTCGGGAAGCAGTACTGGCTGATCACCGCCTTCCATGCCAAGGGCAACCTGCAGGAGTATCTCACACGCCACGTCATCAGCTGGGAGGACCTGCGCAAGCTGGGCAGCTCCCTGGCCCGGGGCATTGCCCACCTCCACAGCGACCACACCCCCTGTGGGAGGCCCAAGATGCCCATCGTGCATAGAGACCTCAAGAGCTCCAACATCCTGGTGAAGAACGACCTGACCTGCTGCCTGTGTGACTTTGGGCTGTCCCTGCGCCTGGACCCTACGCTGTCTGTGGATGACCTGGCTAACAGTGGGCAGGTGAGTTAGAGCTGGTGCCCGCCTCATTCTTCCCCTTGATCCGTATCTCACGCCTCTTGTCTGGACATTGTCTACACAATCTCCTGCCTGCCTGTCTTTGCTGATGGACAACATTGCTCCTCCTGTTTTCAGTCATTCCCAACCCAGATCATTCTTCTCCTTGAGCCCATCTTTGGTTCTTTTCCATTTGCAAATGGCTGTGTTTTTTGTTGTTGTTGTTGTTGTTGTTTTTTTGGTTCAGGTACTGTTAGCACTTTCTCTTAGGGTTGTATTGGGTCCTTTTTACTCTATCAACTGATACATTGGTGTCCCTTTTCACCATTGTTGAAGACCGTCTCTCTGAAGCCCAAGTCTGGGTCCACGTGGTCTCCTAAGACGTCTAGCACAGTGCCTTCAGCAGTGACAGCTGAGTGAGTGAACAACCCCACTTTTGAGGCACTCTTAGAGATGAGTGACTAACGAGCTATTGGAAGGTTTATGCATTTCCAAGACTTCTGCTGCTCTGCTGGGCCCTGTGTGTGTTCACACGGGGGCGCCCAGCGAGGACACTGCTATCTCCTGGAGCCAGGTGGCAGAAGGTACTCCTCACTCAGCCTCTGTGTCCATGGCAGCACATGCAGTGTTGGGGTAAACATGTTCAGACATGGATGGATTCATGTGCCAGGGTTATGACTCATGCAATGACCTAGTGAAAAGAAAAATGTCTTCTAATACATGCCAATAGGAAACGTTCTTCGGAGAGATCAGATCAACTCGCTTAACCTTCCTGAGAGCCCTGGAAAGATGGGGCTTTATTGTTAAATTGTCCATGAGTGTCAAACGTTTCAATGATCGGTTACCTAGACATATTTTTTTCCATTTTCCTCTGCATTCTGTATTTGTTTATTGTCACCTGTGGTGATGAGGCAGCCCATAGACTGAAAACTACATGGCACACCTCTCCAAACTATACGATGACCCAGATTTTTTTTTTTTTTACTGTGGGAATACTTTCATACACTTTAATTTAGTAGAGATTTCATGAAATAATACTGCATCTTTGGCATGCTGGTAGGTGCTGTGAGGCAAAGATTAGTATGCAGTCCTTAACTGATCAAAACTGGTGACAGTTACCAACATTTATGTCTTGGAGTTTCCAGAAGGAAAAAAAAATATTTAATTTGGAAAAGTAAAAATAAACATCTAAAATATCGCAGTTGTCTTCCAGGTTATCGGCAAGGATGTTACCGAATAATGTGATGACATATATCACAGGCTAGATAAGGCAGCTCTGAGGGTTGGCACTTCCTTATTTTGGCATGCTTTGTTTATAGCTTTAAGGAGCTTTCAAGGAGAGAATGTCTATATTTAAAAATAACCATGTGTGTTGTATGCTCTTTGGGTAGGTCTCATGATTCGAAACAGCATGGTGATTTCTGTAAAGATCACCTGCATGTACAGGGCCGAGTGTCAGTTCTGAAGATGCAGCTGCCGATACATGGCCTCAATGTCTGTCTTTGCTGTAGGTGGGGACTGCAAGATACATGGCGCCGGAAGTCCTGGAATCCAGGATGAATCTGGAGAACGTGGAGTCCTTCAAGCAGACTGATGTCTACTCCATGGCGCTGGTGCTCTGGGAAATGACGTCCCGCTGCAATGCGGTGGGGGGTACGTACGGGCCACCGTCATGGTGCAGTGGTCACCCTGCTTTGCTACAGCATGGTTCCAGGGGTTGCAGAGGAATTCAGCCATTCCAGAACTAACTACAATTACGCCAAATGGCCAAAGTTTCTGAAATCAAAAGCCACGCTTAGAATGTCAGTCTCTGTGTCTCCTTCCCTGAAGCTCTGTGCCATTACTTTTCTCTTAACACATCTCTCCACAGATAATTTAATATCTAGCAAGAGGTGATCACGAAGAGTAGGTATAAGAGTGATTCCTCCGGCGCTGTGGCTCACTAGGCTAATCCTCTGCCTTGCGGTGCCAGCACACCGGGTTCTAGTCCCGGTCGGGGCGCCGGATTCTGTCCCGGTTGCCCCTCTTCCAGGCCAGCTCTCTGCTGTGGCCAGGGAGTGCAGTGGAGGATGCCCAAGTCCTTGGGCCCTGCACCCCATGGGAGATCAGGAGAAGCACCTGGCTCCTGCCTTCAGATCAGCGCGGTGCGCCGGCCACAGCACGCAGGCTGCAGCAGCCATTGGAGGGTGAACCAACGGCAAAAGGAAGACCTTTCTCTCTGTCTCTCTCTCACTGTCTACTCTGCCTGTCAAAAAAAAAAAAAAAAAAAAAAAAAAGTGATTCCTACTTTAGCAAATGAATATTCCAATGAGCATCTGATTTTTTTTTCTTTTTGAGTTTTCCAGAATTTCAGAGCCTGGGAAAATATTTGACTCAAAATTTACTTTTACTGACATGACTTCCTTTTTGCAGACAAAACAAGCAGAATGGTTTGACATACTTGTGTAGGTACTGAAAGATCTGGTACAGAGAGGACATTGAGGGATGCCACTCAGTGGATAATGGATAATACTCCAAGACTGAGTAGTAGACTGACTTTTCCTTTCTTTTCTTTTAATCCCAATGATCAAGCAGGCTGGCTGTTACCCCCAAGTTCAGCCACCTCTTCTCCCTGTCACCCTTACAGATGTTGCTCCCTAAACGCGATCATGACTTCCCCAAATTCTCTCCTGTGTGTTTTCTCTGGAAACTGCCCTTCGAGTCCTTTTCCCTGTCAGAAGCTATTACTGCTGCTGGCCGTGAACATATAGCCATGGTTGGGCGACATCTGGGGTGTAGGTTCAAGGACAGTGTGGGATTACCCACCCCGATCTGCAGAAGAATGGCCGAGCACTGTCTTGGCTGACTGCCTGGTGAAGCCAAGCTCACCTTGATTCTGCTTGAACTTTGAATTACTTTTAACCATTCTCAATACTTAGTCATATTCATAGGGTACAATGCAGTTCCAACACATATACACAGTGTTAACCACTCCAACCAGGCAACCTGCCTTCCCATTTCCTTAACTTTTTGAATTTAGAGACTAGCAGCTCCCTTTTCCTAGCTGTTCATACAGTGGATAATGCACTAGAATCTGTTACTTCTGACTGTGTCCCTCAAGCCTCCTCACTCCATCCACTTTTCAGCCTATGGCTTTCACTGTTCTGAGTTCAGATCAATTATGTTTTTTAACTTCTGCATACAAATGAGAATATGTATTATTTGTCTTTCAGTATCGAGTTTATTTCAGTGAGCCGTATTCACAATAGCCAAGGTAGGGGATCAACCTGGGTGTCCACTGGTTAAAGAAAAATGTGGTATATGTACATAAGGACTGTTATTCACCCAATTCTACTTGACTTTTGGTTCTGTAATAATTGTAGGCTTACAGAATTGTTGCAGAAACAGCACAGAGTTTCCATGTACGAAGATATTTCCAAAAAGTTCATGGAAAACTGAAATTAAAAGATGTTCATTTTGGTGCCGAATTTTTTAGAAATGCCTGAATGGATTTTCCATAGCACACATTTTTCTATAAACTACTTGAAGAGTTCTTGTACTCAACCCAGCTTCCCTTAGCTTCCCTCAATGTCCTCTCTGTACCAGATCTTTCAGTACCTACACAAGTATGTCAAACCATTCTGCTTGTTTTGCCTGCAAAAAGGAAGTCATGTCAGTAAAAGTAAATTTTGAGTCAAATCTTTTCCCAGGCTCTGAAATTCTGGAAAACTTCAAAAAGAAAAAAAAGTCAGATGCTCATTGGAATATTCATTTGCTAAAGTAGGAATCACTCTTATACCTACTCTTCGTGATCACCACTTGCTAGATATTAAATTATCTGTGGAGAGATGTGTCAAGAGAAAAGTAATGGCACAGAGCTTCAGGGAAGGAGACACAGAGACTGACATTCTAAACGTGGCTGTAGTGTTAGCATCTAACCTAACCTGTGGTACAGCTATCAAAACTAGGTGAGCCTTAGGTGTGCAATGCTCTTCACCAGTCGCTAGACCATTTTTGAACTTCCACATCCTTTTGTTCTGCATCCCAGAACCCTGCCCTGCCTGTGCCACCATCTCCATTTGGTAGCACCTCAGCCTTGCCTCTTACACAGACTTGTTGCCAGAGAGGAGTTTAGACCAGCGTCTCTCACCTCGGGCTTCTCTGAGACTTTCCTGTTGATTAGATTGAGATCACGTGTTTTACACATCACAGAAATGAGTGGCGCCTCCGATTAGGGAGCCCCGATGATGGTGATGCTAAATTCGGTGATTTCATCAAGATTGTGTCTGCCAGGTCTCTCTCCTGCAGAGACACTGTTTTTCCATGTGTAATTAATACATACCTTGTGGGAGGACACTTTGACCTGCTGCTAATGACATGAACACCTGCTAGACCTTTTCATGACTTCACCCGCTAACTTGAGGGTCCATCAGTAGTACTAGCCTACAGCGGTTATTACTGTAACATTTGCATGATGGAGACTTCTTATTTTTTGAATTCCTTCTATATTTATTCTACTCTAAGGGAGTTCTGTCCTGTCTCTCACCACCTGTTCTTATTTATTCATTAATTATGTATTTTTGTCAGGATAGAATTGTGACTCTGTAGTTTTTAGTTAGTTAATTTGATTTGTTTGAAAGGCAGAGAGAAGGAGATAAACAGGCAGACAGAGACCTCTCATCTGTTGGTTCATTCTCCAAACAGCTGGGGCTGTTTAGATCAGCTGGGGCTGGGCCAGGCAGAAGCCAGGAGATGGGAACTCAGTGTGGGTCTCCCACATGGGCAGCGAGGGCCCAAGTACCAAAGCCACCATCTGCTGCTTCCAAGGGTGGGAGTCAGCAGGAAGCTGGAAGTGGCCGTGGAGCTGGGACTCAAGTCCAGGCTGTCCGCTATGGGCGCTGGGCATCTCAAGCAGTGTCTTCATCATTGCACCAAATGCCAGCCGAAGCTCTTTATTTTATCGGATCGTTTCCAATATTGCCATTATGTGTTATGTTGCTCAGATTGCCATAGGTTTGGTCACTGGGCCAGACTCCCAACATTTTAGCCAAATGGACTTGGTTGGCACCGGTGCGGGCTTTGATTGTCCCTGCCTGTCTGAACATATTTAGCCGTTGTGTAGGGCGGGGCTGGGTCACCTCCCATCCTGTACCTTGCTGAACCGCCCTGTGTATTCCTGGGCCCCTTCTTTGCAGACGGCTCTTCCATCTGCCTGACGCTGTCATTTTCTGGTTTCCTGCCTAAGATTTCGTCCCCCACAAGACTTCCAAAAGTAACTTTGTTTTCCCTCGCACAGTGAAATTTGTTTAACCAGGTTTCAGCCACTGAGGATAATTTTCTGCCTGGAAGCTTTGACAGTTCTAAAATGAATCTTCAGAATGGTACGAGTTGTGTCAGAGACGGTGCCGCGGTCCCTGTCAGAATAAATTTACCCAGATCTCAATGTCTTCCGATCCTTCCACTTTACTCTGCAAACGTGAGCTGGAGGTGGCGTCTCTGCCTCCCCTCTCCGCAGTGCCCCCGGCTTATTAAGGCCCAGCGCCAGCTCCCTGATGCCACTGTTATCAGGGACGGAGGCCCCTTCCTGTTGATATTTGCTGAGTGGGGAAGAATTGAGGCTAATGGGGAAGAAGTGGGCTCATCCACTTTTCCGAGGTCTAAAAACAGAGGCAGGATAAACAAGTTTTCCTACGGAAGGAACAGGAGCGGGACGGTTCAGCCGGTCTCAGAAAACCTTTCTTAACCTTTTGGAGAACAGGAGGCTTTGAGCGGGGAGGGGAGGGGAGGGGGGACCGGAAAGAGGCCATCCCAGTTTGCTTTTTTTGTTTGATCTCAAGCCCACAGCGCTGTTTCTCCCATCTCCGCTGTGGCTGCACAAGACAAGATTATTTATCCGCCCTCGCTTGCGTCCTGCTGCACAGCACTTGATGAAGTGCAGGAATGCACGTAGGAAGCCCCGTGCCGATCGCCGCCTCTGCTTTTTTTTTTTTTTTTTTTTTTTTTTTTGACAGGCAGAGTGGACAGTGAGAGAGAGACAGAGAGAAAGGTCTTCCTTTGCCGTTGGTTCACCCTCCAATGGCCGCCGCGGCTGGCGCACCGCGCTGATCCTGGTCTCCCATGGGGTGCAGGGCCCAAGTACTTGGGCCATCCGCTACTGCACTCCCTGGCCATAGCAGAGGGCTGGCCTGGAAGAGGGGCAACCAAGACAGAATCCGGCACCCCAACCGGGACTAGATCCCGGTGTGCCGGCGCCGCAAGGTGGAGGATTAGCCTAGTGAGCCGCGGCGCCGGTCAGCCTCCTCTGCTCTTTACAAAACGCTTTTGTTGGCATCTCTTGGGCATGTCATAAGAATTGTAAAGACAAGGTATTTTAGCTCAACTCCGTGGCAGTTTTCTTTTCGATGGAGCGTCCAGAAGGCCCAAGACAGCCGCACTGCCTCCCGGGGTGCCTCTATGTGTTGTCCATTCGCTGGCCACCGTAGAAACCTGTGAGTGATGGTGTAGACCTCAGGCAGCTTGTAGTTTATTGGAAACAGACACCTATTTGTTTCTCCTTTGATCGTGGTTATAAGTTGACATGTGCAGCTAGATTTCTTACCTTAGAAATAAAATAACAATGGGACTTGGGCGCAGCAACTAAGAATCTGCTTGAGATGCCCGAATCCCCTATATCT